CCGGTTCTGCCTCGGACCAGGTTGCACGAACCCCCATGTTCATGCCCCCCTCCTCGTCGAACCCACAGTATTCAGACCAGCAGCTTCCCAATGATCTGGGGCAGAATTTCAGAGGATGTGGACACTGATGCTTCCTGGCGGTGCACATCGGGCCAAGCGCAACAGGGGGGCCCATCGGATTTGGCACACTTCGAGATGCCGTTTGAAACGACGGGCCCGGACCAGCTGTGAAGTAGGCGGGCATGTCAGAGTTTTCAGGTGCGGAGATACACTTTACTATCCCATCCTCTCCCTGCTCCATCCCTGCCCGTCCTGTCCCCGTCCCTCCCTGTATCATCGTCCCCCGCTCCCTCTCTCCTCCCGCTTTCCCTCTACTGCTCCCTCCCGCATGCATCCATCCCTTCTCTTGTCTGCTTGTGGCCTTCTTGCCGCCTCTTCGTTCTCCTTGCTGACGCGCGCTGCTGCTTCCCGCTGCTCCTCCCTGTTCTCTCCACACCCCCTCCCCGCAGCGGTTTCTCAGTCCGTCCCCGTCTCTCTCTCCCCTCTCCTCTCTCCTGTCTCCCTCTCGCCTGTGCTGGCCGTCGCCATAGGAGGAGGGGGGTGACGCTGGAGGGAGGGAGCAGGCGCACCACTCGGGGGTTGCTAAGAGGTGCCTCTGGCCCAAGGTGCCCCCAGCTTCTCGCTACCATTTGGAGCGCCTCGAGCCCTCTGGGCCTCGTGATGGGGGGCCCCGGACTGCCTGTGGGGGCCTCCTCGGACATCCTGGGGGCACCCTGGGCCAGGGGCACTTCTAGCAACTCCCGAACCCTGTGGAGCACGAGGAGGAGGAGGAGAGGACGGGCCGGAGAGCCAGAGCGCCAGCGCACGCGCGCGCCAGGCTCGTGGGAGCGCTGCCGGCAGCAGGAGGCCCAGCACCGCGCGGCCGCGGGGGGCCTCGCCGTGCCGCCCCCGACCGGCCGCGCCCGCGGCCCTCCACCGAGGAGCCGCAGAGTACACGCACGCCGCCGTTTTTGTTGTACTGTTTCGCCGGTCGGCGCGGGCCCCCTCGCCGAGACCGAGGGAGGAGAAACCGCCCGGACCGGACAACTGGCGTTTGCTACACGGCTCTGGGCGTTTACGAAGCAGCCCTGCCCCGTTCGGTTCCTTCAGCAGTGGGGGCGTTTCGTAAACGGCCTCGCTCGTCGGGATGGGTATGTATGGTGGGGGTGGATTTGTTTTGCCCTCTACACGAGGGAAGCGGGTCCTGAGGGAAACGGGTCTTGAGATTTTCGCCTTTTTCGGGCTCTCAGGACCCTCCATGGGCTCGGGACGGTCGGCGAGCAACTCAGGATGAGAAGCTCGTCCTGGGAGAAGGCCCCAAGGTCCAGAACCCGTTTTCATCCGGACCCAGCTCCCCCATGCCAAGCCCCCAGCCCCACCATCCCCCCTCATGAGCCAGGTCTTGGCTGCTTCTGGCGGTTGTTTTTCTCGACGGGTGAGCACCCTCTGCCCCTGGCTGCTTGCGCGACTGGCAGCAGCAGACCAACGAGCACCGGCCCATACCCATACCCTCCCCCTCCCCCACCCTTCGGCCAAATGGCAACCTATCATAAAAAAAACGCTTGCCACATGGAGGGTTCGGTGGGTTCTCGTCGTGTCGACGCGGTGGCGACCCCGCCGTGGGCGGTCGTCTCGACGTGAGCCTGCCGTCCGTAAAGGAGGCTTCAGTCCAAGGTGGCGTTCGGGAGCGAACCCAGCCGGAGGCTGATTAATCTTTCCTTCCTCCAGGCGCCATCCAGAACGATTTTTCTCGGACCACACCTCTGGCCCTACCCCGCCTGCACGTCCCCTCGAAATAATGATGTTTCTGATGCCCTCATGGAACTCTTGAGAAATCACATTGGGCCATCTTGAGGCCCCGTGGACGGTCTCGAGACACTCTTGGGCCATCTTGGGAGCCTTTGGTGCTGTCATGGGACGATATTGCCTGTCTGTGGGCGGTTTGTGGCTGTTTGTGGAATGCTTTACCACATATCGGCTGAACATTCTAACACACACCAACGTGCACCAGGCACGGTGGTGAATCTCTAGTGATGGTGGTTGTGATGATGCTGTTGCTGATGCTGATGGTGATTATGGTGATGGTGATGATGAAGATGATGATGGTGAAGATGATGATGATGAGAATAATAACTATGATGATGCATATGATTGTGATGAGCATCACGATGATGATGGTGATTGTGATGATGACGGTGATGGTGATGATGATGGGGGTGATGATGATGCTGATGATGATGTTGATGATGATTGTGGTGGTGATGATGATGTTGTTGTTGATCATGATGCTGTTTCTCATGCTGATGGTTGTGGTGATGATGATGATTATGATGATGAGGATGAGGATGGTGATTATGATGATGGTGGTGCTAGTGATGGCAGTGGTGCTCACAATGATGATGCTGAACATGATGATGATTATGATGATCATGATGATGATGATGATGATGATGATGATGATGAATATGAATATGATGATGATGATGATGATGATGATGATGCTCCTGATGATGACGACGACGACGACGGTGACGATGACGATGACGATGACGATGACGATGACGATGATGGTGGAGGTGGTACTGGTTGTGGTTGCCTAGGCTCTCCAGGTCCTCCGCCTTCGCTCGCGATTGGGGTGGTGGTGATTGTGGTAGTTGTGGTCGAGAGTGCATATTCCTTTTGCTCAGTGCCGGGATGATCGCTTCCGCCTGCCAACCGCCAGGTCTTGCCACGTCCCTCGTCCTTTCCCTTCTGTGCAGACGACCACGGCCCCCACGGCCATGCATTAATGGGCGTATGCGGGCTCCCAAGGGGAGCGCGCACGACTCTGGCGTTCGCTTCGCCTCGCTCTGTGCGCACCAGGGCTCGAGCTAAATGCTGTTCTGGCGATCTCGTGGACCCTTTTGGTCTGATCCCTTTCCGCGGCAGTGCCTGGTCGCAGACAGCACGAGGAAAAACGACAACAAAACGAGCACGGATCGGACGGGACTAGGACGAGGATAACAGAGCGTTCCGGAACGCTCTGAGAAGGTTGCGGCGCCCAGTACATCCTCCAGAGCTGCCAGATCTCAGAGATTCTCGATTTATTCTCACCCGATGTGATCTTCGCCCTGTCGTCGTCTTAATTAGCGGAAAACGTTGTTCTGGTCGAGCCCTGGTGCAGACGGCCGCAGCGACCGCCGCCGCCGCCCGCATGTTGGGCCGATGTTCCACCACTCCAACCATAGGAGGAGGCGGAGGAGGAGGAGGAGGAGGACTTGGAGGAGGAGGAGGAGTTGGAGGAGGAGGAGGAGGAGGAGGAAAACCTCCCCATCCTCCCTTCTCCCCCGTCTTCCCTGCAGTGGTGGTGGTGATGGAAACTCGGCCCATTACCGCAGGTCCTCGGCTTGCAGGCCCCCTCCGCCGCTCCCTGGCCGGCGGTGAGCCTCGGGGCGCTCGGCGAGCCGCCCCTCGAGGCGTGCGCGCGCGCGCCCTCGGCGGCCCCTCGGCGGCGCGTCGGCGGTCCCTCGGCGGCGGTCCAGCGGCCCTCGGCCTTCGGCGACACACGAAAACCCTCGGAGGCCCTCGGCGGCCCCCGGAGGCGTCTGGCACTTCGGCGGTCCTCCTGGCGGCTCTCGGAAAAGCCTTCGGAGGCCCTCAGGAGCCCTCCACGGCCCGGCGGCCCCGTGGTGGCCCCCGGAGGCGGCCGGCCCTTCGGCGGCCCTCCTGGCAGCCTTCGGCAGCCCTCGGCGGCTTGCTTGGGCGCGCGGGCCCCTGGTGGCGCTCTGTGCGGCCGCCGCCGCTGCCGCCGCCGCCGTCGTCGTCGCCGTCATCGTCGTCGTCGTCGTCGTCGTCGTCGTCGTCGTCGTCGTCGTCGTCGTCTCCCCCCCTATCCTCCCCTTCCCCTCCATGTGGCGCTGCGCGCTCTAGCTTGTGGCAGGTTTGCTCGCGTGGCGCCCTGGATCTAGGCCTCCTAGATGGGGTCAGAGTAGATGGGGTCGGAGGATCGGGCCGCATCGCCGATGCATCGCCAATGCCGCTCGATGTGGAGCCCGATTTGCTTCATGTCCACGTGCATCGCCAACGTCGACGATGCATCGCCGGCGCGATCCTCCGACCCCATCCACTCCGACGCCATCTAGGAGGCCTCTACTAGAGCTGCCTCGCAGTGATGCCCGCGGAAGACCTGAGGGAATTCGCTTTCGGCCGCACTCTCCCTCTTTGCCTTCCCCTGGCCCATCTGCGGCTTGCGGCCACGGTCAGTACGGGCAGTGCGACGTCAGAAGATGATCACGCAAAGGTTTATCACAACAGACTTACAGCCCTAAGACACACTTCCAGCTCATATGAACAGGCGAGCCTGACCTCTGGCGGCGGCCCGCACGCAGCAGGATGCAAGCCGGCTTACCCAGCGGCTGCAGGCCACGACTCCCTGACTGCTGCGTCACGGAGAGCATCCTGCTTGGCAATGATTGAACGCTGCCACAAGCAGACTCACGATCCCGCGCGCCAGCCAGCTCTGCGCGGAGCCACTTTGATCCACAGCACGCGATTTCTTTCGGAGCGGTTGCGGCGGGGCGTGACGTGTTGCAGAAAACCTGTGGGACACGGGGAGTGCGGTCTCGTTTTCCTCAATGTGCCTCAAGGTGGGGCCGGTGATTTTGGTGGCCCGCGCCTTGCAGCTCACCGTGAATAGCACAGGACCCACTAACGGATCCCTGCGGTGTATAGTGTGTGTGTGTGTGCATGGAGATGGTCCGTTCCCCCCGCCCGCCCGGGTGGTTTCCTTGCAAGCGCTCGCCCTAGTGCAGCCACCCGCTCGCGGACGCAAGACGCCAGATGGAGGAGAACATAGGGGGTGTAGGGGTAGGGATCGGAATGGAGGGAGGAAGGACACAAAGGAGGATAGACGCAGTATGTTGAAAGGGCAGGAGGAAGGTGGAGCAAGGGGGTAGGGAGGATCAGGAGCAGCAGCACGAGCTGGATCGGGATCATGAGGAGAAGTAGAAGGAGGAGCAGGACCAGCATGAGCAGCAGGGACATGTTGATCGGCACCAGGAGGAGGCGGAGGATGGGCGAGGAGGGGTAGTCTCCGGCAGGCATAACGCCCCGGCCGTCATCTCGCCCCCCAGCTTTTGCTTTTCTCTGAATTTGCCTGTCATGGCGAGGCGCAGTTGTTTGCCCCATCCATGGGCTACTTCAATGGCGCCACGGTGGGATGGATGGGAGAGCATGTTGCCAAGACCTTCGACGTTGTGGCTTATCCAATGCTGACGTGTTCGTCAATTTCGGCCTCTGGAGGCCCGTTCTGGGCCCCAGGACTATCAACAAACTACCCGGGATGAAAACCATGCCCCCAGGCAGGGATGTAGGTATCTGGGTGCCACGTAGTGACAATCCATGGTTCCAGAGGTTCGTGCGCATATGATGTCGGATGAGTGGATTATGATCGAGGGTTTGCATTCATGTAATTTTGTGGCCGATGCACGTTGGAGAAGGCGGGTTGGAAATTGGACGTGCACGTTTAATAATCACACGCATTCCGTATGAAGCGAATGTTGTGAGGGTTCGCATCTGGCCAGGGTAAGAAGTTTTTTGGAGCATTGGACGACTCGGTCGATTGCGGGGTGCTTAGTGCAATCTTTGGCGTAATCAATGGTGCACACTCTGAGGCAGCGAACGATTTGATCGATGGCGGGGTGCTTAGCGCAACCGTTGGCGCAAGCCCAAAGGTGCCCCTGAGGGAACGGACGAGTCGGTCCATTGAGGGGGGGCTGGCGCAACTCATGGCGCAAGCTGTAGCGCAATAGTACGGCTACTACTGCAATGGACGATTTGATCGATTGCGGGGTGCTTGGCGCAACCTACGTCGCAATGCTGCACCCGCTGTTGTAATGGACGATTTGGTCGATTTCGGAGTTTCGGGCGTAACCCATGGTGCAGCTGGTCGATGTCGGGGTATGTCGGGGTGCCTGGCGCAACCCATGGTGGACTGGTGCACACACCGGGGCAGCGGACGAACTGGTGCCGGTTTGGCGCAACCTATGGCGCAATGGCGGATCATTGAGGCAGATGACGACATGGTGGATTGCGAGGTGTTTGGTGCAAGCCATGTCGGAATATGTTTTATACCTATATGTATATATATATATGTATGTATAATTGTATAAATGTATATATATATATATGTATATAGATGTGTGTGTGTGCATATATATATATATATATGTGTGTGTGTGTACCCCCGCGCACGAGACCCGGGGGCCCGGGGCCCGGGGCCTCCGAGACCGCTCCCCGAGCACCCCGGAGGGGCAGCCCCCAGACTGCCCCAGAGAGTTTCAAGACGCTCCCAGAAGCCCCCGGGGGACTTCGACAAGCCCCTCCAAGACCGCACAGATGGCCCCAACTTGGCCCAAGATGGGCTCCAGACCCCCAAGAGGCCTCCAAAAAGCCTCAAGAGAGTTCCGAGAGGCGTCCCGAGAGAGCCCGAAGACGCCCAAGTCCTTGATTTTCATTGTTTTTGTTCGTATGTTTCAGGTTTCTCGCGCGTTTTCGACCTTCCGACGTTCCACGACGGCAGACGACGCCCCCAAGATCGCCCCAAGACCGCCGAAGGGGCCCCCAAAAGAGCCCCAAGACGGCCCCAATGAACCCGACAATTGCCCAGGAGGAGCCTCAGACGGCCCAAGAGAGCCCCAGGACAGGCCCAAGTTGGGCTACAGAGCGGGAGCGGGAGGCCCCAATGCGCTCCAAGACGGCTCAGATGGCCCCAACGTGGCCCCAGATGGGCCAATACACAGCCCAAGAGGCCCCCAAGGGGGCCCAAGAGAGCTCCGAGAGGCGTCCCGAGAGAGCCCGAAGAGGCCCACATCCTCAATGTTTTTCGCGTTCTCGTGTTCTCGAGCTTCCAACGACGCTCCAAGACGGCCGAAGACGCCCCGAAGGTCGCCGCCCCAAGACCGCCGAAGAGGCCCCAAGAAGAGCCCCAAGACGGCCCCGGGGAGCCTGAAGACTGCCCAAGAGCAGCCCAAGACTGCCCAAGAGAACCCCGGGAGATGCACAAGATGGGCCCCACACCGGGGGCGGGAGGCCCCAGGGGTCTCCAGAACGGCCCAGGTGATCCCAACGTGGCCCAAGAGGAGCTCAAGACGGCAAACACACAGCCGAAGATGCCTCCGAGAGATCTACGAGAGCTCCGAGAGACGTCCCAAAGAGGCCCAAATCATTGATTCGCATTAGTCTTTCCGATGTGTTTTGGTTTCTCGCGTTCGTTCTCGAGCTTCCAATGCTTGAAGACGGCCGAAGACGCCCCAAAGACCGCCCCGAGACCGCCGAAGACGCCCCCCCAAAAGCCCCAAGACGGCTCCAGAGATCCTGCCCCAGGGCGCTCGAAGACGCCCAGATGGCCCAGGGTTCCCCCCTCCGTCCGTCCTTCCCTCCCGCCCCCCCCCCTTGCCTCCATTCGCTCCTCTCTCCTCTTCCTCCCCTCACCCCTCAGCTTTCGCGCTCCTCCCTCCTCTCCAGGGACGGCCCCGCCAGAGCGCCAGGCAGGCCCCGCCAGAGCGAGCGGGGCATCGCCATACCCTATCATTTCACAAGTTGCTTTGCCCTCCCACCCCTCAAGAGCGGCCTGGGCAGAGCGAGAAGGGTGTTGATACACCATATACAGTACCTGTTTTGTCGTGCTCCTCCCACCGCACCCGAGGTTGCCTCGTCAGAGCGCATGGGGTGTGGCTATACCATGATTTTCGTCAGGTTTCGTGTTCCCCACTCCCCTCCAGGGCAAGCCTCGCCAGAGCGCCAGGGACCCCCCCGCAAGTCAGAGTAGGGCATCCCTCCCTACACCATACTATTTCACGCGATTTCTGCTCCCCCCACACTTGCAGGGCGGGCCCGCCCGAGCGAGCGTTCCCTCACCTCCTGAAACAGCCTCGCCAAAGCGCCAAGATGGCACCGCCAGAGGCCCCGTCAGAGTTCCAAGCAGCTCCACGCATTGGATTCGCCAGGCAAATTATTGAGCATCCCCCGCGAGCCCGAACCTTCTGATCCCACGGGCGCGGTTATCGCCAGCACGAAGTTTGGCGCTCAGCCCAAAGAAGCTTCCGCACTTCCGTGGATGGACTCGACAACAACTGATCGCAGAGAACGCCACTGATGACCGGGACATGTGCGCGCGCCTTCTGCAGATACCCGACAGCTGGACGACCGCTGAAAACGATAAGCTTGGAACACAAGGAAGGACAAAACACAATGCGCTCCCACGCGCGCGCAACGAGGCCCCGAGCCAACCCCAACATCAGGAGCCGCCGGGTGTCTGCGTGATCGGGCATGGGGAGACCGAGCGCACGTGCAAAATCATTGAGTGCCACGACGGGACAAGATGGGGAAAGGTGAAACTGGAGAAAAAAAGCGCATTTCGATCAACCAAACAAAGGCGGCAGCGAGATTGTGAGATACGCGGGAACGTGGCACACCGCGTTCTGACTACGCGTTTCTTTGCGTCGATGGCATGGGCCCGAGATCGCTGGAAATCGTCGGTGTGGCCATACCGGGGCTTACAGCGGCACCCGTGGCTCACCTGCGAGTCGAACCTATGTGTGCGCGCGTAACGCGCGCGTGGTTTTAGTGTATTTGTATATATGTATGTATGTCTGTATACTGGTTCCCTGTATGCGTATACCCGTCTACCCCCCTTTGGCCAGGACACGCCGCCCAAACACGTCCGTAGCCTGTTTGGGCTTTAGGATCCATGCATTCTTCGGGGTCACGGCCACGAGTGTCTCGGTGGCCGCGAGGCCTGCTGCGAGGCCCGCCATCCGCCCTCCTCGCGCTCCTGGCGGCAGCACTGGGAGGCGAGGGTCGCTGGCCTGACTCCTGGCAGGCGCGAGGCTGGGTGGCCCAGGCGGCTGTCGAGTACCCCGACGGTGGAGACGAGGACCTCGGAGGGGCGGAGGCCGTCGCGCCCGCGCCCGTGGAGGACGGGGCCGCGCTGATCGCCCCGTTGGCGGTGGCTCTGGGCAAATGCTACTGCAGCACGTGCTACACAGCAGGCGGCCTTGAGCGGTGCCGGTTCGCGGTGCGGGCGCTGCGGGTCTCCAGCGCAGAGCCGCCGCTGCGCTTCGCGAAGGCCGAGTTCCTCTTCAGCGGTGACGGCCACTGGGACTGGGTGGCCAGCCACTTTGGGCAGCCGAGCGCGGTGACAGAGCGCCCGCTCATCCACGGGTGCTAGGAGAACCCGTGCTCAGTCGTGGAGGGGCGGGTGACGAGCACCGAGCTGATCCACGTGGCGGACGGGGAGGAGCTTGGCTTCACGGACCTGCGGGCGCTGTTCGTCGAGTGCCAGGAGGCGAACCCAGAGGCGGCCTGGCCAGCAGCATGCCTCGGGCCGCTGGTCGGCGCCGCCCCCCCCGCGAGGCCCGCTGCGGTGGCCAAAGCGACGGGTCGCCCGCCAGCCGCAGCAGGTCCTCCCTGGGCCCCGCCTGGCGCTGCCCCCTTCGACGGCTTCCGCTGCGTAGGAGGCTCGTCGCGCGGCCCTGGCTTAGAGCGGGCCGCAGACGGGGAGGCAGCTGCCGCGGGCGGCCTGGAAGGCAAGCTCGCAGGGGCTCGCGTGCGCCTCGATGAGGGGAAGCGGGCTGCTGGAGACTTGGACCTGGACGGCTCCCCCCTCGGCGCAGAGGCGGCTGGCGAGGGGCCTGCGAAGAAGCGGTCGCTCGGGGACCTGCTGGTCGAGCGCGCCGCGAAGCTCAAGAGGGCCGCCTCGGACGCGGGCCCCCGAGGGTCAGGGGACCCTGTGCCCGAGCGGGCGCCGCCAGGAGCGGGTCTGAGCGGCGGCATGGCGGAGCTGGCGCGGGCGCTCGTGATGGCCATCCGCGAGGGCAAGGAGGCTCCCCCTGGCGACATCGGCGGGGGCGGCCTCGGCTCCTTGGACCCCGCGGCTGTGCCGCGCGACCTGGCCGCGGGGAGGGCCTTCTGTAGTCGGATGGCCGCCGCCTCCCCGGGCCGCCCCACGGAGCCGAGCCAGCAGCAGACGTCGGACGTCCTGGGCTCGCAGGAGGGGGGAGGCGGCCGTCGACGCGACGGGCCCGATCGCGCTGCGGTACCTCCTCACGATTTACCTGCCGCAGGGTCCGGCGAAGGAGATCGGCGTGCAGACGCACCGCGAGCTCCGCACCCTCGCGGAGGCGGTGGACCTGCTGATGTAGGGGGGGGCGGCCTGCGCCTGCGACCTGATCGTCCAGGGCCTGGGGGCGCTGCAGGTGGCAACGACGGACGGCTCGTAGGCGGCGGCGAAGTGGTTGGAGCAGATCCCGCCGCGCGACGAGCCCACGGCCATCTGGGGCGAGGACGAGGAGCCCATTCGCAGCATCCAGCTCGGCGAGATGAGGCTGGACGAACTCTCCGCGCGCCTGGCCTCCGCCAAGACGTCGGGATAGGGCGGAGGCCCGACGGGGGCGCGCCCGCCGCTGGCGCCCCCGTCTGTCGGCCAGGCAGGAGGGGCACCCCCGGCGACAGCGCAGGGAAAGTAACCTGGGGAGCAGGTCCCCCGCCAGCCGCGGGCTCGGCCGCCCCGCAGGAAGGCTTCTGCGGCGGCTCCACCAGCCCCCTTGGCGGCGGCCGCGGGCGGGCCTCCCCCGCGGGCCGGGGGGTCGGCAGCCCCACCGCCGTGGAAGATGCCCTTCGCGGAGATGCGGAAGGAGTTCCTGAAGCAGTCGGGGGAGACGAACACCCAGCACCGCCTGCGAGCCTTCAGAGCTCGTGCGGGCGCGCGCCCCCGTCGGACCTGAGCGGCGGCAGCCTGCCGCCTGCCCCGCGCTATGGTGGAGCCTCCTCAGGGAGGGTGGCCGATGCCTCCATCAAAGGCGCGAGCCCTGCGAGGGGTGCTGGTGGGGCAGTCCGCGGCGTGGGCCAAACTCGGTTTACCGAGGGCGGAGATCGTGCCACCCTATGCGAGGGGGGTGAGGGCGTCGCGGAGCCCCCGCTGGCCACTGCGCTGCAGTGCTGGTCCGACGAGCTCTCCCTCGGCTTCGGCAAGAACGTCGTCGCGGTCGACTTGGCGGCGCAGCTGGCGGCAGCGGTGCGACGGCACCCAGGCAGCCTAGGCCACCTCGCTCGGTCGTTCAGTATGCGTGCGGACACATTTTGTGGGAGCGGAGGGTCGTCGAACAGGAGGGTTCGGGACGCCCCGCCGCTTCCCCTTCCGTCGACCGAGGAGGTGGACCGCTGGCTGGCCCACAGCACCTTGCCCAAGGCACGCAGGTGCCGCCGCCGCGCCGTGGCGCGGGAGGTCAGCGAGCAGGCGTGGCTGCACCTCAGCGCGGTGGTGCTCGACTGCGCGTTCTGCGGCCGCGCGCAGGAAGGCTGGCGCCACAGGCCGACCCTGTCGAAAGCGCAGACGCGGGTCTACGTGCACTTGAAGAGCCGAGTGGCGGCCCTGGCGGAGGACCCGCTCGCCATGGGCGTGGTCCTTGCGATCGACGAGCTGGCGGGCGGCTGCGGATCAGCGTGCGAGGGCGAGACGGGCGTGAAGGCCCTTCCCTGCCGGCTCTACGAGCTGGCCCCTGGCCTGCCCGCGCGGGAGTGCGCTGCCACGCTCGACGCGATCGACCTCGTTGACGACGAGGTCGGCGCTTGGCTGCGCCGCCCCGAGCTGGCGCTCCTCGACCAGTCCGACTGGCCCGACCCGCTGCCGCGGGCCCGCGTGAGCGTGGAGACGGAGGCGGACTGGGAGGAGCTGGCGTTGCACTTCGTGTCGCTCAGCATCTTCACCACGCTCGCGGAGAGCGAGCTGGTCCGCGTGAGGGGCGAGCCCGAGCTGAACGGCCTGTTCGCGGTGGAGAAGAAGGGCACCCCAGCGCTTGGCGCCACGCGGGTCACCAGGCTCGCCCCCAGCATGGTGCCAGGCGACTCGCTCCTGAAGGCCCACGTGGGCGAGGCGGCGCTGCTTGCGGCCTCGACGTCTTGGACGTCGGTCGTGATCCCCGAGGGGAAGCTGCTGCTGTGGTCGGGCGACGACCAGAAGGGGGCCTCCTTCGTGTGGCGGGCCCCGCCCGCGTGGCACCCCTATATGGCCGTGGGGCGGCCGCTCGCGGGCAAGCTGTTTGGCCGCTCGGAGCCCGTCGCCTACGTGACCTCGGCTGTCATCGCCATGGGCTGGTCGCTCGCGGTGCCCGCTTTCCAGCACATTCACCGACGGCTGTGGCGCCTGGCGCCGCCCCTCGGGGCGGGGCTTCCCTCGGGCAGGGAGTGGCGCAAGGATTGCGCGCGGCCCCTGGTCGAGGCAGGCAGCGGCCAGGGCGCTGGCTGGCGGCAGGTCTACATCGACGACTTCGATGCGCCGGAGATCGTCGAGGAGGTGTTGGCCCGCAATCTCGCGGGGGCCCCGAGCGACCTCCAGCTGCAGGTCTACGCCAGCTACGAGAGGGCGAGCGCCTCCTTCTCGGCCAAGAAGGCGCACTGCAGGCAGCTGAAGGTCGAGCGCATGGGCGCGGACGTCGACGGCGTCAGCGGGCGCCTCGCGGTCCCCGCCTCCAAGGCGCTGACCACTGCGGGCGTCTGCTTGGCCGCGGTGCAGCGGCGCCTGGCCCCGCGGCGCGTTGGCATGGCGGCCCTCGGCGAGCTCGCGAGGGCCTTCGAGTTCAGGCGGCCACTCTTCGGGGTCCTGAACTCCGTCTGGACGCTGGCTGCGTCCTCAGCGCAGGAGGCTTACCTGGACGCGGAGATGGTGGAGGAGCTCCCCATGGGCGTGATGGTCCTGCCGCTGGCCGCCTCCTCGCTGCGGGCGCGCATCGACGGCATGGTCACGTCCTTGGACGCGTCGGAGATGGGCGGCGGCGTGTGCACGTCAGCCGGCCTGCGCGAGGATGTCGCCGCCGCCTTGCAGGTGCCGAGGACGGTCCTCGACCAGCTGGGGATAGGGGCCAGGCTCCTCAACATGCCCGAGGACCCCGCCCGACCGTGGGCGGCAGCCAACCCGCGAGTCCCCGCCAGGGCAGTCCGCAGGATGTTGTCGGTGCTGCTCATCGGCCTGTTCGACGGCATCGGAGGCCTCGCCGTCGCCTTCTCGAGGCTGCCCCTCCGCATCGCGGCCTACGTCGCGGCCGAGACGGACGCCAAGGCGAGGCGCGTTGTCAGGCTCCGCTGGCTAGGTGTCATCGACTGGGGCGACGTCACCCGCGTGGGCAGCGAGACGGTGCGGGACCTGTTCGAGGCGTTCGGCGACCTCGTCGACCTCGCGGCGGTCGCTGCGGGCAGCCCCCTGCCAGGACCTGTCGCGCCTCAACGTCGGCGGGCGCGGCCTCAGCGGCAGGAAGTTCTCGCTGTTCCACGAGGTGCCGCGTATTCTGGCTCTCCTCGCCGCCGTCTTCAAGGACAGACTCGTTTGGTTCGTGGAGAACGCGGCCAGCATGCCCGACGTCAACGTGGAGCTGATCTCGGAGGCGCTGCAGGCGAGACCGACGCTGGTGTGCTCGTCGGTGTTCGTGCCGTGCTGCAGGCCGCGCCTGTTCTGGACGAGCTGGGGCGTCTCCGCATCGGCGCCTCTTCGGCTGACCGAACCCGGGGTCTACAACGAGCTGGTGGGCCCTGGCGTCCTGCTCATGGACCTCGCGTGGGAGGACGAGGGCCGCTCTTGGCCAGGGAGACCGAGGTGCACCTCCCTAGCCACCAAGGGCTCGCACCCTCAGGACGCCTCCGACGCCAGGGCCTTCCTCCTCGGCAACAGCCTCAGTATTCACGTCGTGGCATGGTTGTGCCAGCAATTCCAGCACCGCCGCGGCGCGCTGAACAGGGAGCTGTCTTTGGAAGAGGTGACCCCCGTCCGCGAGTGCCGGGCGACAAGGGCCAGGCGGCGGCCTTCGTCACGGAGCCAGGGGAGCCGGACGCTGCGGAGGCGAGGCAGCCGGTCCTGCACTACCTCAGCCGCGCGGAGGAGGGCGAGTCGGACGTCAGGCTGGACTACGGCGCCCCCTGCCGCCCGCGAGGTTGGCCAAGGACGAGCCTGAACCCGTTCGTGTGGAAGTGGCGCGTGGTGATCAGCATGGCCTGGCCCAGCCAGAGCTTCACCCACATACATGAGAGAGAGAGTTGCAGGCGGCCGCGTCGGCGATCAGGTGGCGCGCCCGCAAGGTCGGGAAGCGCGGGGGCAGGTTCTTGCACCTCGTCGACAGCCAGGTGGTCGCGGCCATCGTGACAAGGGGCCGCAGCAGCAGCAGGAAGCCCCAGCCCATCTTGACGCGCTGGATGGCCGTCGTCGTGGCGGCCGACATGTACCCACTGATCGGCTACGTGGTCTCGTCGTGGCTCGAAGCCCAGGAGGCGAGGGCGACCCGTGCCGCGCGCGCGGCCGCTCACCGCAGGCCCGTGCCCGCGAGGCGCCGCGGGACGGACCCCGAGTACGCCGACGCCCTCGTCGCGGAGTACCTCGAGGGCCTGTGGGCCTTTGGTGCGGGCGTCGCGGCCGCCAGCAACACTCTGGCAGAGGTGTGCTTCGCGGCGCCTCGCCTAAGGCGACACCTCGACCTGAGCTGGACTCCCCTCAAAACATGGAGGCAGCATGAGCCAGCGTCCAGGGTGCTGCTGCTCGCGACCCAGGCCGTCGCAGCCATGACGGGGTTCGCTTGCGCGGCAGGCGCTTTCGACGTGGCCGCCCTCCTTCTCGTCGACCTTGAGGGCATGCTCCAAGGCGCGGAGGTGTTTGCCCTGACGGTGGGCGACATCGTCTACCGCAGCGAGCTCTTCGTGGTCCAGATCAGCTCGTCCAAGACCACGGCTGGCAGGAACTGCGCAGAGGCAGTCGTCGTCCGCAGCCAGATGGCCGTGGCGCTCCTGCAGATTGCGGTCCGCAACCTTGGTGCAGGTGCGCGGCTCTCCACCGCACGCCTGTGCATCAAAGGCGCGGTGGCCGGCTCAGTGCACGCCCAGCCCGGAGCGAGGCAGCCCGCGCCGTTGCGCGAGGACTGCGGCTCCTGCAGCTGGCCACTGTAAAAGCCACTGCTTGCGCCCAACAGTGCTTGCCGAAAAGTCGGGCGTTTGTCTTCGCTGCGGCGAAGGCAACCGCCCTCCCGCCGTGGGGCCGCGTGGCTCTCTCTCTCTCTCTCTCTCTCTCTCTCTCTCTCGCTGGTCCTGGTTTCCTGGGGCCCCTGGGCCCGCCCGTTGTGTGGGGCGTTCTCTGTTTGGGGTCCACGCCCGTCTCACCTCTTTCGCGCTTCGTGTCGCCTCCTCCCGTCGCCTCCCCCCGTCGCCTCCTCCTCGAACGAGCCAACCCTTTCGGGGCCCAACGGCCGTGAAAACGGAACCCAAAGGGGGGGATAATACTCTGCGCGGCCTGCCCTTTGGGCGTTGCCGCGCCGCTCCGGCGGCTGCAGAGTGTTGTCCCCCTCCTGGGTACCGTCCCTCACGGTCCTTGGACCCCAGAAAAGGCTGCCGTGCCGTGTGGAGGGCAAGGGCTGGAGAAGGGCGTGGAGTGGAGGGATGTGCTGGGGCCCAAACCAAGGGACTGCTGGGGGATGTCTGGCACGTCTTGGGCCGCCCTGTGCGGCGCCTGCCCCGCGTCAGGCCTGTGGCCTGGCGCGGGTGGCGTGTCCAGACCTCCCTAGCAATCCTGTGGTTTGCCCCCCCGCACACCCCCGAGTTAAGGACCGGCATAAATATGCCATTTTCAGGGGGGGTTGGGAGTTAAACACGGACGGCCTACGTAGCCTTAAGGCCAGTAGGTGGGGGAGTTAGATAGCGTAGGCCCCCTCCCCAGATTGCTGTATGCGAACGGTGGAGCACCACCTCGCACGCCTTAGGTGGCAAGCGCGCGGTGCGGTAGGCGCCGCGTGCTTGCCGCCTAGGAAATGCGTGGCGTAGGGTACCCTTGCATCCCGGTGCGTACAGTAGCTGGGGGGTTTGAGGGGGGTCTAGCCTACTCTGACCATTGGCGTGTCCGCACGCAAAAAGGTGGGGCAGGGTATGTCTGTATACTGGTTCCCTGTATGCGTATACCCGTCTTCCCCCCTTTGGCCAGGACACGCCGCCCCAACACGTCCGTAGCCTGTTTGGGCTCCCACCCGCGGTCCACCCCTTCCGTGTTGAGGCACGCTTTCTGCTGGTGCCGTAGCCCAGAAGATAGCGTAGGCCCCCTCCCCAGATTGCTGTATGCGAGCGGTGGAGCACCACCTCGCACGCCTTAGGTGGCAAGCGCGCGGTGCGGTAGGCGCCGCGTGCTTGCCGCCTAGGAAATGCGTGGCGTAGGGTACCCTTGCATCCCGGTGCGTACAGTAGCTGGGGGGTTTGAGGGGGGTCTAGCCTACTCTGACCATTGGCGTGTCCGCACGCAAAAAGGTGGGGCAGGGTATATGTATATTGATTTTATCAACATATGTACATATGTATATGTATATGGATTTGTAGATGCACATGTATATGTCTATGTGTAAACGCATAACTATGTATTTGTATGTGTATATGTCTGTGTAAATGTCCATGTATATGTCGATGTGTATATATGTGCATATGTTTATATACGCGTACATACACGCATGCATGCATGCACGCATGCTTGCATGCATGCGCACACATACGGACATGCAGACAATGACAAAGACAGACCGAGGCAGACAAACAGACCGACTGAGATAACGGCTGACAGACAGACGTAAAGGCAGGCAGACAGACAGACAGACAGACAGACAGGCTCACAAACAGACAAATGCACAGACGGACAGACAGACAGGCAGACATACGTAACGCAACCCATCGAAGACGCCCACGATGAATCACCGCCGCGTCTTGCCTCTTGGAACCGCACGTGTGGCCGAGCGTTGTGTCAAGAACTGCCACACTATCGGGCCCTGTGTTCCCCAAGCCGTTGTGGAAACCCTTAGGGGAACAGATGGGGAGGATGGCGAGGAAAATCCGGAGGTGGAGGAGGCGGCGGCGGCGGAACTGTGCATGGACCCCGTGCAATTCGGAGTCCGGCGGAGCGATCGAGTCGTTGCCCGATCTTCTGAAGGCTTTGGCCCCGGGCCTCGGGAAGCGACCTCGCCCGAGCGTGCCCGGCCAAGCACGCCAAGGGGAACGGCGGGCTCAACCGAGGCACCGGGCGCACCTCGCGCCGATTCCTCGTCGAAGTCGAGGTCGAGCTCCGTGAAAAGGTCCTGGGCCTTCCTCTCCAAGGCTCCCCAGGGGGCCTGGCCGAAGTACTGCTTGCATTTCATACCCCGGAGGTGCTTACTCACGATGTTCTCTAGATCGACGTATTTCGGGTGCACACGAATGAAAAGCTTCATCTGGTTGGAACTGTGCATCTTCTGCAGCTTGCAACATGGGACGGCTTCTTGGAGCTCTTCGCTCGCAGGCCCGCCTCTGGGATCAGAGGGCGGCGGGTGGGCCGCGAGGAAGGTCTTGATCTTGTCAATGTCTACCGGTTCAAGATGCTCCGACGTGGTCGCCACGATCAGCAACGCTATGAACGCCCATGGGTCAGGGCCGACCTCGTCGTGCCCACTCTTGCCCTTCGTCCGGTCGGCGTGGATCTTGTAAGCCTTCTTGACCCCCTGCGCTGCCACGCTGTCCGTCGCAACCCTGAAGCAGATGAACACGACTGCCATGAGCATGCGGACTTCCTGCTCCGTCTGGAGGCACAGCTTTACGAGGATGGACAGTAGTTCCCGGATCTTGTCCGAGTCGGTGGAGCCCTTTGCGCCCCGCTTCTTTCGCGGGGGTTCAGCAGCACCTCCGCTCAAGAATGCCGTCCGTGCCGCGTCTGCCATGCTACTCGTCTGGGAGCTCCCCCGGATCGATATGGAATGTTTCAGGTAAGTGCGATTGCAAATGCCACAACAGCGGAGTGGCGGACTCGAACACAATGTGGCAGATTCGGCAAGAGTAAGGAGGAGGAACAATGATCTCATGACAAATTGCGCTCCCTCTGTCCCACTGGGCATCGCAAAAACCTCGTTGCAGACTCCTTCGCAGATGGTGTCTCGTGATGTTGACAGACGAATGTATGGCCCAGCACGCACAACATTGATTAACACGGGCCAGCGCCGCAGCAAGTGTGGCGAAACCGTGTTCTCCTCCCGGCGGATATTGTATATGATGCATCCGCATTGCCAATGTACTCTGAAAGCGACGACCACACACGGCACCATCGTCACACTTGTGTCGACATTCCCACTCCTCCTCCCCGTCCTCCCCCAACACTGGCCCGCCATCCGCCCGCTGATCCTCTGGCCTGTACTCCTGCTCCTGAACGAGGTGTTGTTGCTGCGAGGGTGGGGCTGGAGTGGAGGAAGAACGAGGTCCCCTTGCAACATAAACAACCTCTGATGACAATATTCTCACATCCTGTTGTAAAAACTCTGCACGGCACACGGGCGATTGGAATAGGCGCAAGGGTCGGTCGGCACACTCCGAAAGGCGATCGGTTCCCGAAGCAAATGGGGGGGCCCGCATATCCTGGGCCAACTGTAATGCCCACCTGTGCGCTGTAGCATGCATCTTGCCATGGCCATCGAGCGTAGGTTTGGCGTCCCCGGGCAAGTTCCCCCAAAATGCAGCAATAAAGCACTTGTACTCTCCAGGATGCCGGACAACACGTTGCCACATCTTGAGACGTCTCTGCCGGAGGGACACCTCCACAGGTACGATCCCCAACTCCCGTAGTACCCTGTCGTTAGTCCATGCCCTGTATATTATAGATCCGTCGTCTTGTGGGGTTTTGTCGCATGCTCCTCGTATGACTTTCCGGGCAAGGCGGGTAAGTTCTCTCTCGATGGCCTGCGTGTCGGCACTCGAGAGAACAAAGGCCTCCAGACCGCTGAGCCCGGCACCAGACACCATGCATTGGAAAACCGTTCTGCTCCACCGTCGGCGCGGTGACCGTGCCCAGAATTTATCCGGTGCCCCATAGCCCCGTCGGATCGCCTCGAGTCGTTTGCATTTTTCGAATGCCACTGAAGGCCCTGCAGACAAATGGGGATCCAAGTATCGTGCAACATGCAAGACTGTCCCTGGCAACATAGATGGTTCCGTGTAGACCGAGCTAGTGTACTCCTCCGCCTTGGCACCACAAAACTTAACCAATGATTATGATTTCCCAGGATGATGCTGCATATTCCGTTTTGCAAACACGCGCGTGCACGTTTTAGCAAACCCATACGCTTTCCCCCGGTGGTCGAAAACATAGGACACCTGATACGTTTTGCTGGAATCGTCTGCGTAGGATTGTAGTGACGTGTCCACTGTGCATCCGTCCTCCCCCACATCCTCCCATACACTTCCACCCCATGGACATTCGAAACACACGTGCATGTCGGGGTGTGCGGCGGTGATTTCGTCAAAACACTCGTGGTAAGACGCCAAGAACCATGGACCAGCGATCGAATCTCCCGGAAGAGTGCCGGTGCCCCTTTTGTGCACTCGAGCCCCCCCGGTGGAGTCGTCGATGACGGTGCACGCGTGCTCGAGACGTTGACACACGTGCTTGCGATCAATAGGATTGCTAAACGAGCTGCGTACGGCTCCAAGTCCTCTGCGTGCCGCGGGCATGCAAAAGCGTTCGAGAGATCCAAGAAATCCGTTGCATGAGACCGTCGGTTAGCCGCCAGCCGGTCGCGAGTGATCGCAACCGTGGCGATTGCCTGCTCCCGTGCACTGTGCCGCACATATCCACAAGCATAGTCCCTGTAGTAAGTGTGCTTCCCCCTGTCACACAAAGCCCTGTAGAACGCTTTAGAATTGGAGTCTGCTGTGTGAACCGCTTGTTGTCCTCCCAACCCCTTTTTACGATTAGGCTTCGGTAGATGAAAACAATGCGTTTTGTGCCACAGTAGAGGAGTTTCAGACGAGTCCCAGTGAAAGGCCTAGAACGATCCCGCAGAGGTCCACGACACAACAACAACCTCCAAATCCCAACTGGAAATCCCCATCCCGGTGGTGTTTTCCGTAAGGCAGCCCGTTGGAGTTGTCTCTTCGTCTGTCGGAACGACTCGCATGCC